AGAGAGAGGGATGAGGCTGGAGCGCACGGACCGTTTCCTCCGGTAAACAAGCGGCGCACGAGTCTGGAAATCGCCGGCGGAGAGCGGAGGGGGGGGGATACCGGGGACACAGCCATGGCGACGGGAGGTGGAGGTGGAGGAGGCGCACTGAGGCGGAGGAGGAGAGCGGGGCTGCCGGGAATCTGCTGGAAAACAAGCTGCTACTTCCCGCTCCTGCTCTGGGTCGTTTCCGTGTGTGGAGAAGAGAAGACGTTCATAGTGGAGGTGAGAGCACCCCCCCATCACCCATCACCCATCATCCATCATCCATCCATCCATCCAAACACCTGGAGAGGAGAGAGAGAGAGTGTGTGTGTGTGTGTGTGTGTGTGTTTTCTCCCCCCCCCTCATCCACACCATCCTGTCTTGATGCGCAGCTTGGAGTCCTGCACTCTGCTCCTCGGGATGTTTTTATGCGCCTTTCCATCTTTCCATCTTTCCCTCTGTCTCTCCCCCCCTCTCTCCCTCCCTCCCTCCCTCCCTCTCTGTCCATCCTTCCTGAGAGGAGGCTCAGGGAAATAAAAGATTCAGTGGGATGAATAAATGAACAGAGCTCAGTGATTGAGGATCCTCGCTCTGATCTTTTGTTTCCAGACACACGGAATCTTTTCCAGTGAAACCAGTGCGCACAAACCAGTTGGCCCCCATGTTTTACTGTGGGGATCTAAATAATGAGCCCCTCCGCTGGTGGGAGGAGGATGGGGGGTGGTCGGTCCAAGATGGTGAGGGGATCTGTGTCAGCAGCGGCCTCCGCACACGTTGTGTGACTGGTTATTGTGTCTGCACATGTGTGTTGCTGGAGACACATGGCACAGATCATTGGAGTCAACCTGAAGGATGGAGCTAGTTACATGTGAACAAAGCAGCCCCCCCCCCCCTCCACCTCTCCTCCCTCTCTCCCTTCTTCACTGGGTCCAAATATAGCCTCCCTCCATAATTTATGGAAATGGCAGGAGTCGGAGGAGAGGAGAAGAAGAGAGGAGGAGAGGAGGGAAGAGGAGGAGGCAGAGTTAAGAAATATTCCCCTGCAGAGCAGAGAGACCTCTGTGTTGATGTGGAAGTGTGTGATGCTCTGTGATGTTTCTTCAGGAGCTGAATGCAGATCCTCTCCTGTTGGAACGCAGACATGTTGTGATGCTCTGTTACCGTGCTGGAAGTGTTGGCCACGTGTTCTGATGAAATCTTCCTGACTTGCAGCTCTGGGAGACGTGATCAGTGGCGTTGCGTGATGTTTGTGTTGCTCGTGACACGTTCATTCAGACAAAGGAAGCGCCTGTGGCTGCACCAAGCGCGGCTGCTGACAGCCGGGGTCTGTCATGGTGCCGCACAAAGGACGAGATGTTTTCGCCGAGCCTGGTTCTTCACCCTGTGAAATCATAATCCTCCCTGTGCTTTTGTTGCTACACGTCATGCTAATGTGTCCTCGCACACACGCACCGTGCTGTTTTCGCCACAGTTCAAGCTTTGATTGCAAAATGTTACAGAAGATCTGAAATCCTCCAGCTGATGGATGAGTTCCAGTGTCATGAGGAACAAAGACATGTCTGAGGAAGACACAGAGGAATTCACGACGTTTATTCTCATTATTAAAAAAATCCTAAATATCTTTAAAAATTCCCCTCGAACTGTTTATTGTCCGAAGGAATTCTAAACGGAGAAAATGTGACTGCTAACTAAATCGAAGGGGGAGTATTTGGTGTCTTTGCTTGAAAAGTAATTATGTAATCAAATCAGCAAATATCTATATAACCAGATCATATAAAGTTGTATTAATACTGAACGCATCACGTGGTAAACTGAATCCATATCTCCATATCTCAGACGGGTGATGTGATGAGGAATGATCTGTTGATCACTGGTAGATTGTGGCTTTAATCCAATTGGTTGCAAAGGTTGATGCTTCAGCCGGGCTCTGGATGGACTTTGTCTGATTTGATGATGAACTGCGATCGACTGCAGGGGTGAAGAATAAAAACACTTTGATTTCATATTTTATTTCTATTTCTCGGTGGTGACGATTCGGAAACTTAAGACCGAAACCGAAATGCATAAAATGTCATTGAGATACCGGAGGACGGAACTGCAGCGTCCGAGGTGAACCCTGGACTTGGACAATTGTCCCACGCCGACGGAGCTGATGGATTTATTATGTGTCCTCCTGGGAGGAGGGGGTCTCAGGGGGGGGAGGCAGATCTCTGGGGGGGGGGGTTAAACACAACGTTACACCTGAGAACTGGACTAAATGAGGCTGCACTTACAGGATCAGAGCCGTGTGTGTGTGTCCACTCTGGAGGCGGCTCAGTATTCATGGCTGTTACTCGTCGTCTCAAGCTTCGCCCTGATTCGCCGTCCTCAGAGTGAAGCGCTCACACTCGCAACCCATTCTTGCTTTTTCTCGTCTATTTCTGCGACGGCCGCCTGCTGTGCCTCCCAGTGCATCGTTACAGTTCTTCCTCTTTATTCTTCCTTCGCTCGCTCTGTAGTTCTTCACTTTTCTTCACTCTAGCCATTGTCTTCCTCGTCCACCCACACACTCAGTGCGAGCTGCAGCTTTCAATACAGACTTGTGATTGTGCGTTTGATGAGAGGAGAGTACCGTTTGAAGACATCAACATCTTCTGCTCATGTTGGAGTTGATTCTTTTATTTCTTGAAGAAGTTCAAACAACAACCTCACACTGGGTTGGACATGCCAGAGTCATAGTATTACGACATCACATGACATCACGATGACCTCTGCTCTCACTCTACCGGGCTCCCTGGTTGTATTGTTTCTCAGTGGGACCTTCCTGGTAAAGTCAAGTCAAGTAAGTGAAGTGATCCAGTCCGACTCCTCTCGTCTTTCTTTTTCTCTGTCTCCTGTTTTTCTTTGATTCTCCCCAACAACTCGTTTGATCCAACAAAGGCCATTACATTTTCAAATTGATCGTGTGTGTGTGTGTGTGGCCTTACATCATCTATATCCTGGCAGTCATTGATCCCTCTTGGTCTTCCAGCATGTAGCTGCAGACCTGTGGGGTGTGTTTGTTTCTCTTTGTGTGTGTGTGTGTGTGTGTGTGTGTGTGTGTGTGTTATAGGACACCACAGACATGAGGTCATAGCTTTGAGCCCATCAGTCCCACCTGGCTGTTCTTCGAAAAGGTTTCACGTGATGTTTTTTTCCTGGATTTTAATTTTGCTCTACATCAACAGGCTCAGTGACACTCAACCTGTTATCAGAGGGTTTATTCAGTTCACAGGACCCTCGTCAGTGTGTGTGTGTGTGTAGTTTAGCAGAGGGTGGGGTTATTTTTATCGCAGTAGACGGATGGAGGAGAGGAGCTGACAAGACGACACACACGGGTGGAGGCATCAGAGAAGCGGGCAGGTGAACGTATTTAACGTTATCAACAAATGACTCGACAGAAAACAGAGCGGATTCATGAACTGTTCATGAAAATAGACGTAAACTCTGGAATTCTGGTGGAAAAAAACCCGAAGGTGGCGCCGAGCAGAATGTTTAAACCGTGGTTTCAGAACAGCAGCTCACTAACGTCACGATGGGTTGATGTTTGGAAACACGTCATTTTATCCAAAATCCAGAAACTTTGAATTTACAAATATATAAGAAGCTGCAGCACGTGTGACTTCAAACTTTAATAATATTCTGTTGACTGGTTTAAGTGATGACGTCAACAGCTTCCCAATCACAAACACATTGTTCAGATTATTCCAACACGTGGACGGACAAATGGACTGTAAGTAAAGATGGATGACACGATGGCTCCAAAAATTGAGGCCAAATTGTCTCAGTCGCCCCCTGGTGTCTGGCTGCACCATCATTTATAAACCCCACCTCCTCCTCCATGTGAGCAGATGGGACATGAAGCAAGCTAAAAAAACTCAAAAGTAGACGTTAAATAAATGTTTGTAAAGAAGTTTCTGTCGTTTCGGCTCGTTCTCTTTTCTCTGATGTTTGTTCACGTGTTTCTGATCAGTTTGGTTTAATCAGTTATTTATGATATAAAAACAGGGGCGGAGACGTCATGATTGACAGCTGACACTGACTCAGGATTGGTCGAGTGCATGTCATGTCTCTTAAATTCCACTTCTATTTATTCATCTTTGTATTTCCATTCACTTTCTTATTCTTTTACAGTTTCCCGTCTCCACGGACACAAACACGTTTGTTGTGTTGAAGTCTTTTAATTTCATTGTGAGCAGCGGCTCCCTGTCGGCTCGGTGCCATGTGGCACGTTGTGTTCACATTTACAGTTGGGATTAAAATCAGATTAGATCATGAGTCAAATAAACAACATGTAGTTGGTGCAGCTTATGGATCAACCACAAATAAACAACCAGTGATATCAGTTTGTGTTCACCATCTTTAGAGTCCAGAGTTTATTTTACTTTCACGTAAATATTGACAAGGTGTTTCAGGAGCTTCGGTGTTTTCTGTGCTGGAGAGGAGCTTGTTCAGGTCTTATGAGAGACAGTGCAGACTCAGCAGAGGACAAGGGACGGGGGACGTCTCTGAAGGGAGACGATCTGGTGGTTTAGAGGTTTAGTTTCAGAACTGATTTAAAAATCAGAGCAGCGTTTCAGATTCACACTGACGAGCGGTCGCTGGTGTCCGGGTTTGATTTTTATTTTGACGGTCGACTCTACGTAAACATTGATCCTGCAAGGTTCTGTTTGAAACACTAGGTGGTGTTGTGAGCCATGGTCATCACATACATGTAGATTTGTTTAATTCAAATTAAAACCAATGTTAATGTGGTCATTAAAAAAAAAACTCATGTTATTTTCACATGATTTTTACTTCCTAAGATTGTTTTGATGAAGATGAAGGGATGAACGTCCTCATGATATGAAGGTGTGACACAGGCACTAGTTTCTCTCCAGTAGAAAATGACGGAGTGAATCCCTCAGTGTGGTGGTGGTGGTTCGGCAGGTGAGCGGCGCTGCCACACACTTTGAAATATTAATGAGTAGAATAGGACTCAGCCCCCCTGACATCACTCCCACACCTCCTCTTTTAGCTCCATTGTTTTTAGTTTTCTCTCTCTGTCGTTCCCTCGCTCTCCTGTGTTGCGTCATATTAAAGAGACGTCTGCGTTGCAAAGAGAAAAACTTGTGGATTTGACATCGGCTCTTTCCTTTCCTCGACTTCTCTGGGTTTCTCTCTGACATGTCTCTCTTCTCCTTCCTTCAGCCCGGGTCTGTTTTTATCCTCCTTCAGTTTGTCGTCCCTCTGTTTCCTCTTTGTCTTCCTCTGCTCCTTCACGTCCAGGAGAGAGACGTCATGTGACTCTGTCGTGTGCAGGTTTCCTGTTGTTGTTCAGTGTGTTTGTGACGTCCCACATATTTAAATGAGCTGAATGAGCTGTTAGCACGTCACGTTGGAGACAACAAGTTAATATATGATTAAAATATACATTCTCATAAAATCACAAATATAAAATCACAAACCTAACAACCATTAGAAATGAAGCATTAACTCAAACTGGCTCCAGCTCTGGTCTGTTGTGAAGGGTTTTATATTTATCGTTAATGTCCGATGTTAATGAGCTTCAGAGGAGACACTCCACTGATTGTCCTCATGTTGTATTTACCGAGCTCGTGGCTTCTCTGTCATTGTCTTTGGCTCCCGGGTGAAAACCGATGACACGTTCAAAGACAAAACTGAGAAAAACCAAAAGCTCTCAGATGAAGTTCCCCTCTTGTTGAGATGTGACCATGATTCCACTGAGGAGGCTCTTTGTGGAGAGAGAGCCATTAGTCCTGACGGGAAAACGACAGCACAAACATGCTCTTTAATATTTCATGCAATGTCTGTTCGTGATGAGGGTTTCATCAGGGTCACTGACATCAGAACTCTGTTCAGTGCTTCATTCTCTCTTTCTCCTCTTCTCTCTCAGACCTGGCTGAAGAACTACGGTTACCTGCTGCCTCACGACGTCCGCACCTCGGACCTGCGGCAGGAGAAAGCCATGCAGTCTGCTGTGGCCGCCATGCAGCGTTTCTATGGGATTCCTGTGACGGGCGTCCTGGACGAGAAGACCATAGAGTGAGTCGGGGGGGGGGTGTATGTGGGTCTTTCTTAAAAATGTACAAACCTTTTCCATCAGTAGTGTATTTCTGCCACCAGAAGGTGGCGATAATGCACCTGAAAGCAAAACAATGCAATAATAATAATACAGTGTTACAGACTGTTTATAAAAACAATCGTAGACTCCAAGTCCACAAGCTGAAGGCAATACAGAGGTTCCTGAAACCTGTGAGAGAGGAGGAAGCTGCTGAGGCAACTTCAACAAACTCGTCTACTCGTTACATCGCTGCGACAAAGAGTCGTTACTTATGAGCGACCTCGTCTGAATCATGAATAAAGTTCGCAATGTGATATCAGAAGAAACGCTGACACCTGCTGGTAGAGTCAGTTACAGCGACAAACAAAAGTGTCATTGAAGAAAGTGAAACGTAAATATTAATCACATGATGAGAAAAGGCGGCAGATTGGCCTGAAAATGAAAGTTTTACACCGATAAACATTTTTATTCACATGGTTTTGAATTGTCATGAGACAAAATATTGATATGACAATATTTCATTGTCCTGACTCATGAGATACGATTATCGATTTGCTGCCGCTAAATATGGATATTTACGTATTTAGTTACAAAAATATATATGAAGTTTGAACTTCTGCCAGTTTATGGTTATTTTATACTGAAGTGATGTCACATGGGGACATTGACCAGTTACAGTTCGTTAAAAACTAATAATTCTATAAGATAAAACTTTCTTCACGTTTTGTTTCATTTCATTTTGTGTCAAACTCTGTGAAACTGACAAATATATAAATAAACTCACTAATCCTGCACTTTACCTCTTTATCTGCGTTTTTTTCTAAAGTTGAACAGATATCATGATGTATCGTTATATGGTTGTGTGTCAATTTATCAATTATCACAGAATTCCAGGTTTTTCTTGACTGTACAAACGCTGCATTTACATCTGTGTGAAATCAAAGATCCATAGTTGGGAACGTTTCTGTCTGTGATAAATCTTCAGTCTCGGTGATCTGTTTGCTTATATTAACGTTTACGGTTTTAGAGGTTATTAACTCTACAGACTGAGAATCTTCTTCGCCGTGTTTTTGCTGTTATTGTATAAGTTTTGAGTTTTTATAAATGAGTTGAAACTTGTTGTGTTCAGGTGGATGAGGAGACCTCGCTGTGGCGTCCCAGATCATCCTCACACCAGCCGCCGACAGAGGAATAAACGCTACGCCCTGACGGGACAGAAATGGAGAGATAAAAAGATCTCGTACAGGTATCCATCCATTTATCCATTTATCCATTTATCCATTTATCCATTTATCCATCCATCCTCTGCTCCCTTTTTCTCTCCCTTGCAGATTGTGTCTCTCCCCCTTCCGTCTCCCAGTCTAAACGTTGCTCRGCCTAATGTAAATTAGCTGCGTCCCACGGGACCCTGAATGCATCTCACATCTCATCCTCCCACTCCTCTTTGCATCTTTTTCCTGGTTCCTCCAGCTTCATTGGTTCATTGTGTGGTTGTACAGTGAAAGCCTCGGCTGCATCATGTGACGATTCCACCAACAGCCCGGTCCACGTAGTCCACTGCAGGTCTAATGCAGATTAGAGTCGTCCCACGAGATATCGAACACATCCCAGCTCCCACTGTTGCCTCTGCCCACTTTTTTCTCTCCTGCTTTTCTCTCTGACTCACTCCTTCTTCTGCTCTCAAATGATATCTAAGCTTTAGAGAACAACATCTCTCCATGYGTTTTCAGCAGCTTCTTTGTAAACGGCCATTTCTCCTCCGTGTTTCCTCCTGCGTCCTCTGTTTTTAAAAAGTTCTGAAGCTACGAGCATGTAGCTTCACACACACCTTTGTGACAGAACCATCGTATCAGGGTCAGCAGAGAATAAGGGTGGATGTGGTGGTTTAGAGGTTTGAGGTCTGAGATCTTCACCTCTTTGATCGTATTTTCAGTTTTCTCTATCACCTCCTGTTTCCAGCTGCACAGTCACTTATTCACAACATGTCATGTTGTTTCTTGAGCAAGATCTTTTTAGGTCTAATGTAAATGACGCTGCTCCCACGAGACCCTGAATGCATCGCAGCTCTCCTGCATTACTCTGATGCGTTAGAGCCACAGTGTGAGATCACGTGATCTGGTTTCAGCGTGTCTGCGTCTCCTCGGCCTTCGTCGTGTTTCACCTGCTCTCAGCCTCTTGTCTTCAGCTCTGCTGCCACTTTTCATTACTCTACTAAATATAATCGTTTTTAACTTAATTGGTCCTCCTCTGCAGTGATCAATATTTCTGCAGCTCTTTATCGTCACATTTATTTTTTACTGTGAAGAGATAAAAACAGCACCGTGTCTTATAAAAACATAGAGTGGGCGATAGTTGGTGATTAGAAATGAACAATAATCAATAAATCAACAATTACGAAATAAAGATGCCAGACATTCCATTCATCCATTTATTCATCCATCCATCCACCGCTTATCCCTGAGTCTGTCCAACATGTCTAAACCTGTGAGGGTCAAGGGGTGGAGCCAGTCACAGGCTGACATTGGGCGAGTGGCGGGATACAAACTCTTTGTTTGGTCAAAGTTTTGTTTCCACAAAAAAACTCAAATACGTCTAAATACACAACGCCCGTTTGTATCAGTTTGTATTTTGTCCTCTGATACACGTTTTATATCTGACAAATGTTTAATCCCCCAAACTACATGGAAACGATAATGAACACATTCACTTCTGGACGTTTTTTCAGCAGCTGGAGAAACACACACGGACACGACGGTAATGAAAAGAGTCGATAGACGATCACAACCTCTTTCTGATTGGCTGTTTTTGATTTGGCCAGATTAGACAATTTGAGCCTGAACGCAGTCTCTTTACCTTCTTAGTCCCCAACACTCAGGGTGTGTGTGTCTGAGGTCTCTGCATATCCAATTGAAGGGCTAGACATGTGTGTGTGTGTGTGTGTGTGT